CTAAACTGTCAAACCACAGCCCACAAGGTGAACCCAAAGCACAGAACCCTTCACCCACAAACCCTACCCTCTGCATCTTAATCCTTGACCTACAGCCTTTGAACATGGTTTTTCTCCATGAAGCTTTTCCCCATGTTTCTGTCACCAGTTTTGTTAGGGCGTACAGATCAAGGTCAACCTTGTGGTGAAAAGGCTTGGTCAGCTTAGCCTGAAAAAGTTCAGATGCTACTTACAAATGCCCTGCGGGTCCCTGAAAGGCCTTGCACATCCTGCTTGCCGGCCTGTGTGGCTCAAGAGCGAGTTCCATTCCAGCCACCAGTCCCATAGGCTTCTGCGCACAGGTGCAGAGCCCCGACTTGCCAAAGGCACCCGGGGGCCGGGGTCGATTACTCTTTTTTACTATTATCATTATGATTTCTATTACTCCTTTGGGCTTAGGGATTCCGGGACTTGGGGATCTGGTCACCAGGGCGTGGGTTGATGAATTAATTGCTTCCGACCACCAGGACCGTGCACGGCAATTCCTTGCCCCAATACTGGGAGAATCCACTGGGAAAGAAAATGGAAAATTAAATGGACACAGGGGGTTTATAAGGATTATATGGGGGTACTTATTAAGCTTTCCATGAGCAATTGCCCTGAACACCAATCTGGCGCACGTGGTATGAGGTGGAGGCTGTTTTGTTGTTATTGATGGGCAGAAGCTCCCCGCTTGTTGACTCAGAGTTCGAAAGTTTCTTAAACATCGCGAGCCCGACACTGTGTTGAAGGCATGGCTGTGATGTGGAAGATGATTCGCCTTATGCCCCTCGTGATGGCTGCCCATGCGAAGTGCTGTAGCTGGACAAAACAAATGAGCTTAATCCCTGCCGGCAAGTAGGATACAGACGAACGGCGTATGGGGATGAATTCGGTATGATTTACGAACTTCAAAAGGGACCTTCAGTAGTTGAGTTTCTTGGGCTTTGCTTTTGAGGGACTCTACCGGGCACTGTTGTTTGTGTCTGCGTTTACTCGGGTGAGAGTTGTAAGGTGCGAATGCCACAACAGTTCGATCGCCTTGGACATAGCCCGTCTCCAAACCTGAGGTCGTCAAGTCGTATGGTGACATTTTTTAAGTAAGTGGAGGGCGGCCAACCCCAACGTGCCATGAGGTAGTATAAATGATTTATTTAGATCTGGAGCGGGCCGGACGTCATGCTTTGCAGAAGTAGTATAATATGCCTGTTCGGTTGTTTACGTGTCCGGATGTTCGTGCAACTTGAGCCTTAAACTGCCCTACCGAGCTCAGGCATCAGAGAGGACCCCCTGGCAGAGTGGTTGGATGACCTGAAGTTTTCACTTCAGGACGTGACCCAGGACGTTGCAGTGATTCTGCAAAAAGCCTGGAAGGGTGATTTCATCTGGTACCATGGTTCAGGTTGCCGAGCTTGGAGTTGGGCCTTTGGTCCTGGAGGTTCTGTGCAGACACTGTTGTCAGTACTATCCCGCGACATGACACAAATCCCCATATTGCCCCCTTTCAAACGCGCAGTTGTTGCGCATAGTGGCCTAACTAACATGGAGCTTCAATTTGGATTCTGCCAAAGTACGCAGTCCAAGGTCCATCCTGCAAGCCCCATAGAGTCCGTGCGCGTGGGGTGTTGGACGGTTTCGCTCTTTCGCCGATGCATGGGTAGAGGGCCAAGCTCGAACCCACGCTCTTCGGTTTTTTAATCCTTGAAGGGACACAGTTTCCCCGTGTAGTTGAGAGATGACCCAGACCTCACGCCTACCTGCATGACGCGTCTACCCCCGTAGATCCCTTCACTCGGCCTCAGATTTCGATCAAGTCGGGAAGCTGGGAAGCTGCGGAGGAGCAAGCAGGCATCACTGTCAAGGCTTCCAAGATTGTCTGTCAGAACCTGATCTGAGAAACTGATGATGTCCTATTCTACATTGGGTCGAAGTTCAGGAGCTCGTACATTAAGGATCTCCAGCTAGAGTTGTGAAAGGATTTGGGTCGTCGGGTTCTCCAATTCGCAGACGAAGATTCTACAGAGGGTTGGAGTAGGCCTTGCAGTATCCAGAACGGAAGATGGCATTTTGCAATCTACAGGCTTCATGAGCGTAGTTGAGAAGGCGGCTTGAGTCTGCTTCTGTGAAATTGCCAGAGATCGCCCAGCACGTAGGGCCCATTAAATTCCACGAAGCCATGAAGTTGTCGACAAAACCCTACTGTAATCTATTACTTGCTCCACACTTGGGGGTTCCTAGGCTTTAAGAAGGATGCCATTGCGAAAGGTCTAGACAAGTTGCGAAACGAACGTATTCATGTTCAACACCAGATCAAACTACTTTGTGCCACTTTGCTAGTCTGTCGCCAGATTAGTTGTCAAAGGCTTCAGTTCTCAGCTCATGGCAAAACACGATATGCCTACTCCTGAACCCTGCGTGCACAATCCGAATGTTGAACCCTGACCTGTTACACCCCACATCCAAGAATTTTGTATTTGATCCACCTGGCAGAGAAATAGCTAGACAAACACACCATGCCAATGAGTTCCTCGAAGGGGTTCAGGAGGATAACTGCATTTTTAACCACATAGACTCGGGTTGGTGGTAAGGTCTATGCCGAACAATCAGAGCAGATATTTGGGTTCACTCCTCGCAGCGTCCACACGAAGAAAGCCATGCCAGTTCGAAGAGTACATGAGTGCCCCGAAATCCTGCATTAGGATCTCGTGATATGCACATGACGCTTACCGTATGCTTGCAGGAAGCCCTACTTCTGAGGAATCCACATTCTACATGGCGCATGTTGAAGTTCACGACAACTCAGATCTCCCCAGTCTAGGGGTGCCCAGGAAGAAACAGACCTGCTTGAGAACTGCTTCCCTCCATGCGAACGCGTTGAACCCCAAAGTCCGCCAAGGAACCTGGAGCTCACAGACATTCAGTCTCTCGAGCCTTCTCAGGATTTTTTGTTTCAGGGACTTGCAACCGGATTTGATGAAGCTTCCGTATTTGGACCCATATTTGGACTAGCAGAAGCGAATGGCGCTTAGGAGTCCCATGTACGTACAGGGCTTTCCCCAAAATTTGGTCATCATTCCAAGCAAACTGCAGGCCTTCGTTCTTTCTGCCGGGGTTTTGGAACTCTCACGTTTGCATGTCAGGTCGGCGGTGGAGGATGTGGGGATCTCGGTCACCCTGAACGGCGTCGGCATCCAGTGCCCCTAGACCCTGTGAAAACATCGTATGAGAAATCATGCCAAAGCAAACACACCTCACAGCCAGAGGATACTGGGAACCTACACCACCAAGCTCAGGAGGCTGCACTCCCAAACATGGAGGGTGCAGTAAGAACTATCAAGGCGCCCTCGCCACTTATATGGCTTCAAATCAATGGCACGGCAAAACGCATTTTCTAAAATATGGTGTTCCTTAAACCTCAACTCAAACAGCCTGGGTGCAACTTGCAACACTTGAAGCCGCTAGTCAGTTTGTGGGTGCAGCGACCCACCCGCTGGAGCTGGTGAATTAAGTTCATGGAAGGACTGCGAGAGTGCACCCACCACAGACTGGGATTGTGCAATTTGATGATGCTTGCTGTGCGATGTGCGATGCACATGTTGAAGCAGTCTAGGCACCGGGCACTTCGAGTACAACGGCTTGGCCATTGTGAGCGGTTCTGGCGACTTGAAGGCTCAACTAGCAGAGCAACAACAACAATATGAATAATAGGCAGAAGGAGAGCAAGAACAATAATAACAACAGTAAGAACAAGGCCGCCGCCGCCAACAACAACAACAACAACA